AGACGCTGGCCCCAATATAGAAAATCATAGAAAATCAATATTATAGTTCTTATGATGGGGACCCCCCAAAATGGTACCCTTAGTTTTGGGAAACCCCTTTGTCTTTAAAGCGATAGGCAAGTAGTTGATGTCTTTAGACATGTGGATCCGCGCCAGGAGTCTGTTGCGCAAGCTTCACATCCTGCACGGGGGCATCCCAAGGTGCCGTGCAAATAGGGGTAGAGGTCTTTCAGGCAGGATTATTCCACAAATGAAATTGTTACTTCCAGGCTATTGATTTTCCACTCCGCCAGGCAGGGAAGAAAGAGTCCTGAGGGTTGGCGTCAAGTGGCAATTCTTGTTTGAATCATTTCAGCCATTCGGGATTTGGACCGTCAGGATCACGATTCGACTTCGGCTGCGTCGTCCAGCGAGGGCGCTCGCGAGCCAGGGCGCGGAGTCCAAGCCACATGAGCTGTAGTCTAAACTCCTCGCAGGGGGCTATGTACGGGATTAAATAGGGTTCGTGTTGTAGGATTTATAGTTAGGGCTTATTAAGGGGAGTACTATCAGTTTAGACTATAGCTCACATGCAGATTGCAAAAGCATGCTGGCATTGTGCAAAATTGCCAAGTGCAGGTTCTCTTCCGCCCAGTTTCTGAAAGACCCAGAGTTCATCGATGAGCCTGTGCGACAGCAGCCGAGGGTGGGCACGATTCTTAGTCTTCCATAGCACGGAGGCGCCCTGGGATCCCTGCGAGGTTGCGATTACACGCGAGGAACGCGGCCAGCGTGACCAAGAACTCAACCGCCTACAGGCTGTTGTTTTTGCACTCCGTCGGGCAGGGTTTTGCGTAGACACGCTAACGCAAAGATCTGTGCGGGGCAATTTAGATGGCAGGTGGAGGCCCGCTCCCAGCAGAGCGCAGGGCTCGCGGAGGTTGAGCAGCCCATCGACAGGGCTTACCGGATGTACCACGAGTTGTATGACGACAATCCACTCGATCCAGCTGCGCGGCTGCATGATATCACTAAAGCTCGTCAGCTCGATGAGCTCAATCTTGCATTAGAAGGCATGTGAACACTGCCGAAGCCTGGCAAATAAATACATGTGCCATGTAGTTACCATGGGTGTCATTGCCATCATTACCTCCACCGAGATGTGATTATCTTCACCAAGACGTCCATCCAGGTGAAATCTTGAGATGTGTCCATCATCCATGATCTGGATAGTCATGATGCAGCTGGCACTGTCAAGTTTATGACTATCAATCAACACCAAAGCTGGGGAACCCTGCGGGTTGTTCAAGGGCACAGACCCATTTCCAAATTCAAATCTCGATCTGAACTCGATCTC